AAGCCTTTCAAGCAGTAAATAAGTCCAAGTGATCCATTAGATAGAAGAAGTAATGTAATCAGTCCACGTACGGTTTTAGAGCAACCGGCTCCCAGACACCTGAGGACAAAGGGACAAAATATAAACCTGAGAAAGAACTTACTTAATAATAAGTTCTCACTTTAATAGAAATCAGATGTAGTTGACGTCGTTATTATTTAATATGCAAATAGTGGGTGTACACCCCCCAAGTTAAGTATGGAACACTGATTTGTTTTGAAAGAACACCTCCCACCCCTACCCCCCTACACGCACATGCACACAAATTTTCCCCATTCCGTTTTCCCATCTCTAGGAAACGACTACATGGTCTCTCTATGTGCGGGAAAGACTTCAGTAGAAAGATATGTGCCAAAAGCATAATATTTCTCAAGTAGGAGTCGGTAATGCTTCTTGGTTGTGAGGAACTCGTGTGACATGTCCTGCACTGAGGCTGGTCTGTAAGTTACAATGAAGACCGCCTCCACGGTCTCGGTTATAATAGGTCACCGACATCCGGGGAGCTCTCGTGGCCTAGAGGCTTTGGTGTTCGCCTCTCATTCAATAGGTCCCGGATTCGAACCCTTATAGCGACGGGAAATATTCTTCTAAAAAAGTTTCTCCTTTCACCTCCGTTCCTACTCTTTAACAATGCTCTGTCGTCTGCTTTCGTCTCCACTCTCTGCCCCCACCCCCTCACCTCCTTTGCCCGCTCCTCTGGGCTCCTGACCCTTTCTGCAGCTTTTCTACAGCTTCCCCTTGGCTCTTTTTTTAGTGTTGTCTTTCAGCCATACCCCTGATCTTATGATAGGTAAGATCTACACCTAGCCTTCTCGGACAAGGGCGAAAAATCTTGGAAGTCCCGTGTGCTAGTTGCGTACCATTGGTGGCATAAATTCGATAAAAGTAGGCTTCGGCCGCCATCCATGCAAAATTCAAAATTTGCTACCAATTGAAAATGTTTGGTGTGTCCCGCACGCTCATACGACGTTATACAGTTGCGAGCAGTGAAAAGTAGACTAAAGTTGACATTGGTTGGGGGGGGGGGGGGGGGGGGTCACCTTTGGCCAAATTTTAGCTGACGTCATTTGTTGACTGTCGTTACATTCATGTAAAGGGGAAAAGTTAACGTTTATGTCAAATGTTTGTCGGCCGCTCCAGTTTCAGACCTTTACAAAACAAACTGGTCACCTGGGTTCACTTCTTTGGATGTGTCGACCGCGATAGTTCCCCCAGCTTTGACGCGTTCTACCTCTTGAAGATTGTGGTGGGCCTAGTGTAGCCTAATAAGATGTTCCGTTCAAGGTTTATTAACGCTCAGTCACTTGCTTTCAAGAAGAGTGCGTGGGAAATTCCCTTAGATTTACAATGAACATAGAACCGACGCAGCTTGCTCTGTTGTTTCGTTTGTACTCTAATGAGCTTGAAATAATAAAAAAAATATTTAAAAAAATAACAAACAAAAAAAAGATAAATGAATAAATAAATAACATTTTGTAATGCGCAAATTCACGCTTCACAGGAAGCTCTAGATTCTATGTGCTTTACAATCTATGCTTACTTTACTTACTTTATCCGTCCTCTTGTACTTCTAGGGCGTCAAGGGGAGAAAGAGCTTCCTTTCTCAAGCAAGTTTGATGGCCTGGCTGGGTGGGATATTGAATGTTCTGAGGGTATCCTTCCCACCCTCGATCCAGGTCTTTTTTGCTCTTCCTCTTGCTTTGTACTCTGACACTTTGCTGTAGTAGGCTTTACTGGCAAGCTGGTTAGGTGCCATACGCGTGAGATGTCCAAACCACCTGATTGTTTGCTTTCGGATGTAATGGAGGACAGGTGTTGTTCACACCATTTCTCTAATCTTGTTGTTTCTGATCATGTTCCGTCTGGTTTTGTTGATGGCTTTCCTTAGATATCTCTTCTCGCAGGTGGTTATCTTACGTTCCAGACTTTTGGTCAGGGTCCATGTCTATTTTATATATAGTAGAGGGTTTTACGGCGATCGCAACTGCATAAAGTCATATGAGCGCCAAGGGGTGGGTGTCAACAGAGAAGTCTTTACAGAAAATCAGACTTAGACTGCTCACTTGGTCCATGTCTGGCACTGCTAGGTGAAGGTGGAGATGAAGATAAAGTTAATGAGCTTGGCTTTGGTCTCTATGGGGACGTTAGGATGTTTGGGGAGTGGGGCAAGCTGGTAGGTGACGTTGTTAGCCTTTTGTACTCTCGTCTCAATTTCTCTGTTGAGACGTCCGTCTTCCGAAAAGCTGCTACCAAAATACTTGAACTCGCTGTCACAATCTATAGTGCGGAAAAAATAAAATTCGCGGCGCAACTTTTTGTCAAATATGTCCAAAGATCGTACATAACAAGACAGTTCACTCAGCCAAAAAAGTGTTCGCAGAAGTCCGCACATTGGTGCAGATGGCGCTGCAGTCTTTGTATTGTTTCTCCTGAAGAAGAATAGGAATAGCACAGCTTGTTAGTTTCACTTTTATAGTTTTTCACACAAGTTCGCAAAGTCCGCTCTTTTTCGAAGAGGGCGCCACCGGATTTTGAGGACACTTTTTTGGCACACATAGAGGAGTGATCTTGTTATGTACGATCTTTGATATGTCCTCAGCTATCGAACATAATAATTATACTCTCCAACTTTTGCACAAGGACTTGTATCGATTTGTCTGAACAGATCAATTTTTTTTATAAACACCTGTTACGTCTAGTTGTATTCTAAAAAACAAATTCCATAACAAATACTCATAAAAAATCCCAGTGGATGGTTTCTACAGATTTTTTATGTCTTACATCCTAAGCTGGGATAAAATCGCTTTTAGCAAGTTCGTCCTTGCCTCGTATTGTGACACTATGTTTATTGAACACATATTTTGAGAATCTTTAGTGAAAAAAAAGGGTTCACTATAATAAAATTATTTCTTTTTGTAACAAGTTTTGCCACTAAACAGTGATTGTTGACGGTCTGACGTTGTATCCTTGGGCAAGGCAGTCTACACGAAATTTCCGTTTGTCTCGGTCCTTTCAGAAATGGACATTTAACACGGAGGTCCCGCCTCTTAAAATAACTTAATAGTGTTGATAGGGGCGTTAAACCCATACCATTTCACCATTTTAACTTAGTGATTATCGCTCTTTACGAGGAATTATTCTAACTCTGTTTCCTCGAACAATTCGTAAAATTTGAGCGCAACAACATTGGCGATGAACCAGAGGCGTTGGTATGGAGTTTCATTCAGCAGTGGTCAAGGTTTTTAATTCGTTGCATTAATGAAAGAGAAAATTAAAAAAAAAAAAAATAGGATAGGTATTTCACAAAGCTAACTATCGCCAAATGGAGCGATTCCGCGGCGGAAGTATGATGGTGTGGGGTAGAATCTCTGCTCTTCATCATCATACACGTTTAGTTATTATTCAAGGCTACCTTAAATGATGACGGACATTGGACGATCTTCTTCGTCACGATGTCCTGCCCTACATGACGCGAATGATGGAATGTGCAAGCTAAAGGTGGGCAAAATCCGGATAAACTATCCGGGTTACCGGATAATTCTCAGTGAAACATTATCCGACTACAGACTCTTAACTCTCTTTCCTGACCCTTTTGCTGAAGTCGGTGCACCCACTTGTTGAAGGGATGCTAACCCGTTTGTCGAAGTGGTTCTAACCCATTGTCGAAGCGGTTCATAATATATTATTTGCCGAAGAGGTGGACTAATATATTATGCGATTTTTGCCTAAAACGACTCATTGCCCAGCCCTAGTGCCAGCATGACAACGCCAGACCCTATGTAGCCATATCAGTCAAAAGAGGTGGACTAATATATTATGCGATTTTTGCCTAAAACGACTCATTGCCCAGCCCTAGTGCCAGCATGACAACGCCAGACCCCATGTAGCCATATCAGTCAAAACTCTTTCCAAACTATTCAAATCAATGTTTTGGACTGGCCTGCAAGATCAGCAGCAGGTCTTAACCTCAAAGAACATCTGGGGGCTCTCGAGGCCTACAGGTGAAGGTGTTCGCCTCTCAGTCCAAGGTCCCGGGTTCGAATCCCGGTAACGACGGAAAACCGTTCTTCTCTAAAATCGTCTCCTTTCACTTCCTTTCCTGCTCTCCAGCAATTTTCTTTCGTCTGCTTTCGTCTCCACTTTCTTCCCCCGCCCTCTCACCTCCCCTGTCCCCTCCACTGGGCTCCTGACTTTTTCTGCAGCCTTTCTACTGCTACTCCTTGGCTCCTTCATACTGCTGTCTTTCAGCCACACCCCTGATCTTCTGGTAGGAAAGATCTACAACTAGCCTTCTCGGACAAGGGCGAAAAATCTGGGAAGTCCCGTATGCAAGTTGCGAACGTTAAAGATCCCTTGGTGGTCCAAAATCCATATAAGAGTAGGCTTCGGCCGCCACCCGGACAAAATTCCAAATTTCCTACCAATTGAACATGTATGGTGTGTCCAGCGCACTCATATGACATTATCCAGTTGCGAGCGCCGTAAAACACTCCCCCCAAAAAAAACACAAAAACAAAACAAAAAACAAAAAACAAAAAAACAAACAAAAAACAACAACAACAACTAAACAAAACAAAACAGGACAACAGTACATCTGTAAGATGTCCTTGACTGGAGGATTCGAAACAGTCCGAACAACGTGTTAACTTGCCAGGAACTGAAAGTTACACTTCACAAAGAATAGCAAGGGCAGTAAATCAAACTGCAAGGGGCCACACACAATACTGAGAGAACTTTGATATGGATTTTGCAAGCGGCAGTGTGAATAAAATCATCTCCCTTGAATAGAAGGGAAAAGACATTGGCCAATTCTTTTTACGTCACGTTGGCAAAAAATTAATGAAGATCACGTCAACCAAATTTCCCATGGCTGTGTTGAATTGTAAATAGTGGTAACACACACACACACACACACACACACACACACACACACACACACACACATATATATATGTATATAT